AATAGGAGATTACAAGAGATAAGAGTCCTGCTTTTAGGAAGACTCCCTACTAATCTATACTACTGAACAGATAAGATAAGAACACTGAATAGATATGACTCCCTACTAATCCTACTACTGGAAACAGATAAGATAAGATAAGAACATTGAATAGATAAAGACTCCCTACTAATCCTACTACTGAAAATAGATAAGATAAGAATGCTGAATAGATAAGATAGAACTGTATCTAGCTGGAATTAGATAAGATGAGAACTGAGAACACCCAATTACTGCTGCTGCCGGCGGCTATACTTCTTCCCAATAAACGCGTCCACATCAGTTTAGTTAAGTTTAAATTGGGGGAAGGTCTTAGGGTAAGGTTTTGGGTAGATGAGTGGCTTGGGGTGGGAAAATTGTGTGAGGTGTGTCCTAGACTATACAAGCTGATTGATCAACAAGTGTCTATTGAGCAGTGCTATGAGTGGAGAGGGGAGCAAGTGATTTGGAACCCGATGTTCAGAAGACCTTTATTTGACCGAGAGGTGGAAGAGTGTATTCTGTTATTGGAAAAGTTAGAAGAGAAACACTTCCAGAACTACAGAAGATGGATTATGGTGGAAAGAGTGCAGAGAAGGAAGACTCTCAGTTAAATCCTTTACAAGGCTTTACTGAGAGATGGTAGGGATTAGATCAGATAAAAGGAGTGTTGGGTAACCCAGTACCCCCAAGGGTAGAAGCTTTTGCTTGGCTGGTGGCTTATGACAGTATTTTAACCTATGATCACCTGAAATCCAGAGGCTTGCAGCTAGCAAACTGCTTCTTGTGTAACCAGGAGGAAGAAACATTCATCCATTTATTCTTCTCTTTAGTGTGGCAAATCCTTCATGTTTGGAGAGAATGTCTTTCTTCCTTTGGTTCCAGCAGAGTTATTCTCCAAGTGGCCGAAAATCAGAGGAAGCAAGAAAGCCAAAATCCTGGGGAGCTGTATTCCATTTGAAGTATGCTGGTCCATCTGGAAAGAGAGAAATAGAAGGGTCTTTGAGGACAAAAGGAAAAGAATGTTGAATATTTGTTAGCAGGAGTGAGCAACTCGATTGCAGATTGGGCTCTCAGTCTTCCAGAGTTTGACCAAGTGAATAGATGGTGAAAATGCCCCTAAAACTGGCTGGCCTCTGCATTATTTGTTTTTGACTTGAAGAAAGAATATTCTAATTAAAGAGATTGGATAAGTATACTGAAGATACTAATCCCTACTAATAAATGAATTTGGATTAGCTGAACACTTTAGCTGTGTAGCAGGCTGTGGAACCAATGATAGCGCTCCACACCAGGGATAAAATACATGGGGCCCACACTGGGAGGTTGATTGATTGTGAACCCCATGTGTTTTATGACTGGTGTGGAGTGTCATTACTGGTTCCACAGCCTGCTGAACAGCTAAAGTGGTCAGCTAATCCTATTTCCTAATAAATAAGGGAAATTTGGCAAGTGCAACACAATGAAGGGCCTAAAGAGAACTGCATGCATATATAGACATAAACAAGATGCATAATATTGTCCTTTTACAGGGATCCTCAATAGAAATGACCCTCAAGATTCCTCTCCTAGCAATGATGGAGTACAAAGAAAGTCTACTGATAATTTCTTATACTGCCTATTGTGTTCTCTCATGCTTTTCATATTTTTGCTAGATAATGGTTACATTGCACTATTGATATGTGTATATATTAGATGATGCTGTTTGAAGATTTGCTCTTTGGTTTTTATTTTATGATTTATGATTTAGTTAACATTTATGAGTGATTCCTTGTTTGTCAGAATTGAAGATATCTTGTGATATTTTCCATGTTATGCTTTATATGAAGCTAATTTCATGGGAAAAGATAGAATATAAATTACTWTTTTTATAATTGCTGCTTCTTAGTGTTCATGACATAAATGTTTCTTTCTGATTTGTTTAAAATGCTCAGGCATGCACATCCTGGTAGTCCTTATGTTTTTGGACTTGCTGGGGCTGATCATGATGTTGATTTCCCTGAACCAATCCCTGTAGTTGGTATGCACACTTTACTTTGTCTTTTGCTCAAACAAATTTAGTTTTGATTTTCTTTCAGTTAGAATTTTTTTTTAATATGTTTGGATTTGTTGGCATTTTGATATTTGCCACTTGGTTGCTACTACTGTTTTTTTGGTCGGTGGGTGCCTGGGTGGGTATGACTTAATTCTTGAGGCAAACTGATGTTTTAATCTATGGTACCAAGTTGATAGTAATCTACGGATGTTAAATCTATCTGTTTTGATCAGTAACTGAAATTTTCCCTGTTAGTTTATGTGAAAAAGATGTGTATTATGTAAAAGGAATATGCCAAGAATTCCAAAGTTATACCACCCATAGTTTTGGAGGTGCCAAGGCAGTTAGGTGACGGGGCGCCTTGTCGACTAGTTGCCTAGGTGATGGATTTTTTTGAAGTAAAAAAATATATCCTAGGGTAGTTCCCTAGGTTTCATAACCATATTTCCTTAATAGTTATCTATAATTTTCATAAGAAAAGTATAAACTTATGTTAAAGTATAGAAAATCAACATATTCATGAGGAGAAAAGGAAGAAAGAAAGAAAATTCAAAAAAATATAAGGGCTGAACTCCTATTTTTGTTATAGGAAAAGAAGAAAAGAAAAGAAAAGAAAAGAAAAAGAAAAGAAGAAATAAGATGTGTGCATTAGAAGGCATGGGAGGCGCTCCCAAAACACCCTGAGGCGTACACCTTAGGTGCAAGAGGCGTATGCCTCATGCGTTTTTTTCATGAGGCGTGCTAGAGGCATATGCCTCACGCACCTCATGCACATCTTATATAAAAAGACAAAAAAAAAGAAAAAAGAAAAAAAAAGGAAAGGAAAAGAAAAGAAAGGGAAGGGAAAGAAAAAGAAAGAGAAGAAAAAAAAGAGAAAAGGAAAGGGAAGAGAAGAAAAGATAAGGGGAAAGCAAGTGGTTTGCCCCCTGCCCCTTCTGCTCCGGCGAGTTCGCTTCTCTCGCTTGCCTCCGCTTTGACAAGGCCCCCCTTCCAACTAATGTTATGCATCTTTATTCTTCTTAATATAAAAGATTTTTATTAAAAATAAAGAAAGAATGAGATCCCTCCTTCCTCTTCATCCTCCTCCTAACCCCCTTCCCCTTAAGGAGGTTTACGCCTCCTTGTGTTTGGGAGGCTTACGCCTCTTGCGCTCTGAACTACGCCCCACGCCTCTAGGTAATGGAACGCCTCGCGCCATGCCTCTGCGTTTTAAAACATTGCTTATTGGTTCAGGTTTTTAAGTCTTAGGGTTCAACACAGCATTTAGCAATGTCTATGTTGATTAAACTTTCACAATTAAGAAAATAATAAAAAGAAATAGTAAATAAACACACAAAATGAACATTTTAGTTTAATAATGTCTATTTTATAATTATAATCTCAAAAACTCAAGAATACAAAAGTATTTTATAACACAATGTACAAAATTGCTTGGCGATTAGGTGAGGGAAGCCTCCAAGGGTGCCATGTCACCTGGGCGTCGCCTTGAAAACTATAGTACAACCTATTTTCTCCTTTGTTTTTTTTTTCTAATTTGTTTTTATAGGTAGTTTCAGCCTTATTTTGGGCTTAGTTTACATGTCTGAGGCTTCTGGGCCTTGTTCAGAGGAAGGTTCTATTGCACCTTTTGATGTGTCTTCCTCACAGTTTTATTTATTTTTTAAAATACATAAATTGTTATTGATAAAAAGTAGTTTGTTTTTGTAAGTGAACGTTGAAGTTTTTGGACAGTTTTTTTGATCAATAACAGGAAATTTTATTAAATAGTAAGAGGAAAAATACAGATTATGAGTAGCCTCAGCTACCCCACTAGGACTTAAAACCTTGCCACACTAGCATCTTTTTAACTTTTCAACCTTACAACTGAGCTCAAAAACAAAGTTCCCTGTTAAAACCCCATGTTTTGCCAACTGATATGATAAACTGTTTGCTGCTCTTGGAGTGCTCTGAATTTGCAGCTGCATGTCATTGCAGAGTCTTTTAAAATCCTTGATTTCATTTCTGAAGAGCCAAGGAGTCTTTTCATTCTGTTTCAGCCAGCTTATAACTACTTTGGAGTCGCCTTCCACTATGGACTTTCTCACTACCAATTCCATAGCTTTTTGCATCCCAGAAATCACTGCCTTTAGTTCAGCTGTAGTGGAATCTCCCATTCCAATAGGACCTGAATACTACCCCACAATAAACCCCTTGTCATTTCTTATCACCCCTCCAATTCCAGACATTCCTGGATTACCAAAGTTGCTTCCATTGACATTTAATTTGAGAAAACCCCTTGTCATTTCTTACAACCTTTTTCTTTACTGATGAAGAGGATGCTACTATTCTCCAATTTCTGATTATATCATCAATAATAAAGTTCTTGGACAACTATGCAGTTATACTTAATGATCAATTAAATTCAATCACTAGGATTCTCTTGAAATCTAACAAAATATAGTTCTCTTTTACATGTTCTTTTGTTTCACATTCAATATTTATATTATACATTTAGGAGTATCTCGTTCTGCAAAAGGGTATTGCATAACTTCAGTGCTGGAGACTATGAAGACATTTTCAGTGGATGATGGTCTTACTGAGGAGGCTATAGTAACCAAGCTACGCACTTCTCGATACCAACATTTATTTCTGCACACATCTCTGAAACACAACTCAGCGGGTTTGTTTTCTCTGAAACACAATTTTTCTTGTTTTTATATTTAATCCTCTTGGATTATTCATTGATAATTTTAAAGTTTATCCTGTTCTCCTTAGTGAAGATGACATTCAGTCTGTTGGCATAATGGCATGGAACTATAATCTTTTTTTTATGTGCAGCATCGCATGGGTGGGCGGTTTTACTTTTACTGAATCATGCTTAGTGCTTGATATATCATTTTAGCTTTTTTAAAAAAATGAATATAATGCTTGTTATACACACACATTTGTTTGAAAATGACATTCAACTTCTAGAGGGGAGATATGGAGTTGTCATTCATCCAGCATGTGTTTGAAGCTGAGAAACTTGACATTTGCCCAAAGTTGATGAATATAACTTGACATCAGAAATTGATAAAAAAATGACATTAGAATCTCTCCATAGCAAGCCTATTTCTATGAAATGGTCTTTGATGTATTGGTGCCTTGCAGTAGGTTATTTGGTGTTTGTTCATTCAATTGCTAAGACTAAACATTCTTGCTTATACTAGAGGAAGGAGGGTTAAACAAAAAATATACACCTTAGAGGTACAAGTTGTATAAAAAGCAAAATCTAAAGCGAATGCACCTTAATCGATTGGTCACTCAACCTTGAGGATTAATAATGAAATAAGAGTAGTAAAACTAAAGGCAAAAATAGAAATGGAAATTTGACGAGCAAAAATAAAATGGAAACTAAGAGTAGTAAAAATCCTACTTTTGTAAGCTGGCCAAAGAAGAAGAGTGGAAGAATATTGTGGAGGTGTACAAGAGCTGCAGTCTGTTGGACAATTTGGGAGGAGAGGAACCAGAGAATCTTTCTGGATAAAGAAAGGATGGATTGGAGCTCTATAGTAAGAGCGTGGAATGAAGTGGCACACTCTTCTGAGAAGAAAGAAAGGTGATGGAGTGGAAGCCCCCAGGTCTGAACAAAGTCAAGCTGAATTTTGATGGGAGCTCTATAGGAAACCCGGGACTGGCAGGAATTGGTGTTGTGATCAGAGACTCCTCAAGCAAAGTATTGGCTGTGTATTCAGGACCTCTAGGGGAAGGTGATTCCTTAAAGGCTGAAGTTTTAGCTTTGCTATAAGTGTTAAAACTTGCCAAGCAAGCAGGCCTTAAGAACTTGGAGGTAGATGGGGACTCAAAAAACAGTGATATCATGGACCAATTCAAGGGGTAATGCTCCTTGGATTTATAGACATCCCCTAAGGGAGATTGAAAGCCTAGCAAGAGAACTCAATGCCTCATTCACATGGATCAGGAGAACTGCAAATGGGATGGCTGATTCATTAGCCAAACAGGAAGTTTACAGGCAACAGCTGTTCTGGTCTCTATTGTAACACTCTGTGGTGCATTGTCTGTGTATATTTGCTATAATTGTGTAACTGATTTTCTTAATTGGATGATATTCTCCTTTTGCTGATAAAAAAAAATAAAAAAAAAGAGAAGCAGGGATGCAATTATTGAAGTGATTATCATTAGAGTGATCCATTGGGTGAAGGCACTGGATCCTTTTAAAGACATTCCGGGAGGTGGACTAATGAGGAAATGGGAGGAAGTAGCTGATTCCTCTCCAACTTAGAGGCTGTTAAGGCTGTTAGGTCTTGTTGGTCCCTGCCTTATGAAGGAGTTATTGAGCTTAACTTTGATGGAAGTAGTGAAGGTAATCTGGGTCTGTTAGGCATTGGAGGATTATTTAGAAATGAGCAAGAAAAAGTCATTGCTATCTATTCAGGCCCATTTGGAGTAGGTCACTCATTGAGGGCTGAAATTCTGGCTGTATTGGAAGGGATTCAAAAGGCAAAAGAATTGAATTTTTGAAAATTGTCAGTTGAAGGAGATTCAAAGCTTGTGGTAAATTGGCTTTGAAAGGATGAGGATGATGGATGGTGGTGCTGCATCTATGAGAAAAGGAAAGTGATGAGGTTATTACAGGGAGTAGATGTGACATTCAATTGGGTGAGAAGAGAAGCGAATGCATTTGCTGATACATTGGCTAAACAAGGGGTGGGAAGGAACAATTTGTTTTGGGCTATGTTGTAACTTGATTCTTCGTTGGGGAGAGTTAGAGAGTTTATCTCTCTCCCTTTTCTTTGTACTTAATTTTATGGACCAACAAACTATAGGGAGTAAAATGAATTTTGGGAACAGTTGGTTGTGATCAAAGATTTGTGGGATTGCCCGTGGTGTGTAGGTGGGGACATTAATGTCATCAGATTCTCTTTTGAAACAAATAACTTGAAGCAATGTGTCCCCACAAGTATGAGAAAGTTCAATTTGTTGAAGATTGGGAGTTAAAATGTGTTGCCTCTAACTCAAGCCTTCTATACGTGGCCAAACCTTCAGGTTAATCCAAATTGCTCCAAGTTGGATAGATTTCTTYTCTTTGTCAATTAGGAGGATCATTGGAATGGTTTGTCCTTCAAAACCTTACCTAGAGTAATCTCGGACCATTGGTCCATTATGTTATATCAAGAAAGTCCTTTGGGGGCCATCACTCTTTAGATTTGAGAATCTGTGGTTTACTCACCACAGTTTGTTCAATGTGAAAAAGTGGTGGTAAGAGGAATCTCTCAGGATGAAAAGGAAAGGAATGAAATTCTAGGCTTTTTCAAAGCAATGGATGTCAGAGGAAGAAGTCTGGCAGAAAATTGTGAGGAAGCTGTTATCATGGGCAGCTGCAGAGTTAAATATAGAAGGATCTGCCATTTGTTCTCTTTTGGAACTTGAGAATCTTTTTGTATCTTCAAATGGAATAGTGGCCTAATTAGCTTTGTACTTTCCTTTGTACAGCCACTGGTTGTACTTGTTTTTTTTTGTTCTAATGAAATGATACCTTATCTCTTCTCAAAAAAAGATGGAAAGGATTGGAGTTCTTGAAGAAATTGGATTCCTTAAAGACAAAAATGAAAGAGTGGAATAAAGAGTAGTTTAGCAGACTATAAGAGAGGAAAGAGAAGATCCTAAACACATAGAACATTTGGGTAACAAAGAGACAACAGGCTGTCTTGGGGAGAATGATAGTATAATCAGATGGGAATTAAGAGAGAATTGGGGAACATCTTGATGAAAGAGGAAATCTGTTGGAATAAAAGGAACTGTTCTGTTAAATCTTTCCTGGAGAAGCTAATTGATCCAAACCAGTTAGTGGTGGCTTGGAGGGTGAAGGCTCCGTCGAAATCCCTATTCTTTGTGTGGTCTGATAATCCAGGAGAACAGGTCTAGCAGATCTGTTCTAGTGATTTTTACAGCAAAAATCACACAAACTGTTTGAGAAATTCAAGAGAAAGAAAGAAAATAGAGTGAAAAAAAAAAGAAAAACAACTTTCTTAAGCTTGAAGTAATTGAATATCCTCCTTTTTTATCCTTTGAGCAGCAGCTAATAATGTTCTTATATAGGGGTTCTATTTAGGTTGGCATCCAACAAAACCCTGAAATTACAAAAATACCTCTGTCCCAAAATAGTAAGGAAAACCCAAAAATAACCTTATCTAATAGCTATTCTCCCTATACAACTCTTCCTAACAATAATAATCCGCTAGATTAATTGACTGAGAAACAACCTAGGAAATCTTCAAAACAAAATTAAAACAAGAAAATATCTAAGCTCAAGCACAAGAATTCTTCACTATCTTGATCCTTCTACATTTGTCATGTGTTCATAGTTAAGTGCTGCAGCCTCTACATCAGTCCCCTCCATTCGAAGAGGACTCACCCTCAAATGTTGTTTGGAAATGGGTGGATGGTACTTAAAAGAGATAAGCAACACTGAAAGTTCTAGATATAGTGGAAGTAGGAAGGTCTACAACATAGGCATTGTTACTAATCTTCTTCATGATCTTGTAGGGTCCAATCTTCTTTAGCCGTAACTTGTATTGCTCCATAGGGAACCGTTCCTTAGAAACACCATTACTTCATCCCCTTCTTGGAAAAACTTTGGTCACCTATGCTGATTAGTTGCTTCCTTATGAATAGATATGATCTTGTCAGCAAAGTTCTCCGCTGCAACACTATATCTAGTAGATCTATTCACCATGTTAATATAGGCAAATTCTGCTTGTGTAATAGCTAAATCCCATTGTTTAGGATTCCCACTAGATAGACTGTGTATAATATTACTAAAAATCCTATTCACCACCTCTGTATGCCCATCTGGATGAGGGGACGATTGAGCTTGAGAAGTAGACACTCTCCTACTGGTAACAACCTGCTATGCACTGAAGGGTAGTTTGATACCATTACAGCAGCATCCTACACCTGTTGAGACCTCGAGATAATTTCATGTTCTCCCAGGAGGTGTCCATCACCTAGGCCGATTGAGAATTTGAGATCTCTTCTTCCCTACCTGCCTCCAAAGCAGCTTCAGAGGAAAGGATTACAGTCTCACAATCACCTTTATTAACTTCGTCTAATCGTCTTCCTCCAGGAGTAGTTGCTCCCTGCCAAAGCTCTCATCCCCTTAAACCCAAAGGTTTTCTCTGGCCAAACACTCCCAATACTTGAGGTTGAGGAATCGGACTCGTCCGATTCAGAATCTTCCTCACTGAGTTCCACCAAATCTTCCTCTTCTGCTACACCCCCTACCAGATCTGTTTTCTTATTTCTGGGGTTGCGCCTCTCTGGTGAAACACGCTCCTGTGCAGGCACTGGTCTCTACTACAGTGAGCTAACACGATCTGTCTCCTTCTCTGAGTTTATTCGAGTTGGGGACGATGATGGACAGATGGACCAGATTTAGTGTCCATCAGCATCCCCTTTAATCGATCCACATGACCACTTAAAAGGTCACACGATTTTTTCTTCGGCAGGTTACCTGGGCCAGGCCCATTTGTTCCTTCTTTAAAGACCTTTAAATTTTTTATCCCTGTCACTTTATAAGCATCTCGACCCAACCCATCTGCCCTCTCTTGGGCTGCGATGTCTCATTCTTTGGGCACATTTGAACAACTCTCCCCATGGCTTAAGTGTGCTCCCTCTCTACGTGCCCACATGGCCCTCCATCCTGACCGGATGACTCTTGCTTATTTGATATTTGTTTTAGCCCCGTTTCTCCACCTTGACTAATCAGTTTCTTTTTTTGGTGAAACCTGTCAATCAGCCTTCTGCCTACAGCTGGTCTCTGTCAGCACTCGTGCATAAGACCTGTGACATGCCTCCTTTTCCTTTTCTCCTATTGGTTCTTTCCCACTGGTTGCTGGTGTCTTCCCCTTTAAATCCTTCCCCTCCAATGTTTACCATTTTGGTGTAATCCTCGACCAAATTTGAATGAGCCAATCCCTTACTTCCACATAACTACTCTTCTTCAACCTTCTCATCTTCCTTCTGCCTTCACTCCACAAGGCAACTTCAATGGCTGTTACTATCCAGGCTACGTAGAACACCCCATCAACCACCAGTTTAACTGAATGGGGGATATCATCCAGATGCACATTACTTGGACAAATTGCAGCTGAGTAAAGATCTTTAACAAAAAATCCATCCAGTCTTGCCTTACACAGAGCATCTATGGAAGCAAACACTTCTGAGGTTCAAAGATGAAATGACAAACCCAATATCCGTACAATTACTGTCTCTCACATGCAGATCCTTAGAGTTTGAATGAGGGGTCCATTTTGAGATAGTTACAAAGTCTGAATCCAATTTACAGCACATAGCAATAGCATGGAGTTCCATCTCCTCTCCTACTAACTCGACCAGGGCCTTATATTTCTCAAAGGGGGTTAAGATGATAGTACAGCTTAGCTTTAATCTCTTTAATAACTCTTCAGCAATTCTCCTCCAGTTTTTTGGTGGTACTGTAGAGATTACAATTAACTTTTTCTCTTATTCATTCTTGAGCACATTGCAGGCCATTCTACAGTCTTTTGCTGCTTGACCCACAATCTGTATTCCTGCTACTTCTTTAGCTCAACCCTGCCTTACTTTTAAATATTTGGGCTCAGCTACATGGATTCTTTCTTGCCATTTTGCTCTATCAAGACTCAAGGCTATGTGTACCCTACGTTGCACAAAACAATTCAGGATTAATATTCATTATTGATTTGCTAAGGGTTTTTAGGTTAGCTGCCACCCACGCACGACCTACCTCCCTTAACTTGGCTTGGGGCCAACAGGGTAGGTTGAACTAGCATTTGTGGAGTTCAATTTCTAAATAATAGCCAAAATTTACAACTTGTAAGAAAATATATGTACATGTACAGATACCCGAGTTAGACAGACCTTACTTTGTGTCACTATTAGCTGGATGCATACACTTATCTTGATGCAATATTAGTGCCTTTATCTTTTTTCATTTTAATACCAATTATCATTTTGGTGATATATATCTTAAGTTATCTCTTTTAAATTTTTAAGATATTAGAATTTTTTTTTAAAATATTGTTTGATGGTGCATTTTTTTGTGGCGTTATGGCTCTTTTGACATCTCTCTCTCTCTCTCTGTCTCCATCAATTTAGATGGTGTTTGGTTGGGCTTCAAAAGATGAAGCTTGGGAAGCCTGATTGGTAACTTTGTTCTCCAAACCCTTGCTTTTGGTCTCACAACAGTGAAAAATGACTAAAGGGTGTGCTCTAGTTGCCTTTTAGTCACACAGGACAGAAAGATTTCTGGGTTTTAGAAATGGAGGCTTAAAGCTAGAAATTGGAAACCAACTTCAATTGATGCTTCCTGTTTTTGCTCTTTTTTGGGCTCAGCTTCTACTGGGCTGTGGCATTCAAAGAACAGTTGGGTTGCAAAATCTCACCAGTCTAACCAAACAGGGCCTATTTCTTTTCATGAAGTTTCATTTCTTTATGCCTAGACCTTTTCAACTGTTTTATTCCAGAATGAGAGAGCCGAGTTTAGATCTGAATTCCTTGATATTTGTTTTGCACTAATGTAATATTGTAGGTTTCACTGCAGGTACTTCTCGGTGGGGAGAATTTGGTGAAGGGGGTATGTTGTGGGGAGAATGTACTGGCAAGCACTTTGAGTGGTTTGATGGTGATCCAATCACTGAGATTTTATTCAAGGTTCACATTTTAGAAAATCTTTCCTTGGCACCATGGTTGTTGTTAATTGCAATGTTCTCTGAAATCACTAAAATTTTGAAGTTACTTGATTATATTAGGTAAAGGAGATCTATGGTCTTGATCATGATGTTTCCTTTAGAGATGTCACTGTTTCTCCCGAGAAAAGGCCACGACCTTTGCACCTTGGAACAGCCACACAAGTTGGTTAGTTAATTTTTTTTCTTCTTGACTTGGTTCCTATGGTTGTGCCTTTTGGTGTATCTTCTTAGTGTCACCATTTCTCCATCTAGGTGCCATACCTACAGAGGGAATACCCAGCTTGTTGAAAGTGCTGCTCCCTGCAAGTTGTGTTGGCCTTCCTGTACTGTGAGTGATCTCTTTGTTGTTTCATTTCTTATGCATTAAGAAGTCAGTTACCAGTTATCTGTTAATGGTTTGGTAATGAAATAAAGTTAAGGTACAACATTTATTTTTTCATATTCACTGCTCTTCTAAATTTCTGATTCTGTGAAATTTGCGAACTGTAGATATAATACATCTCAATTATGGATGAAAAAATGTTTGTACAGGGAATTCTACATGCATAATTTTTACCAAGGAACTGAGGTTGGGAGGGGGCTGTTTCTAAAATAATTCTTCCCTTGGTGGAAACATTTCTGGGAATCTGAAGTAAAGGCCAGGATTTTCTTTATTTGTTTTATGTCACATATATATCTATATTATATTAGAGGAAAGAGGCCAAGAGTCCTCTCACCTCAACTCTCATGTGCGCCTCCTCTCCTTTCTCAGACATATCTTAATTATCTCTTATAAAATATTTCTTAACTCTCTCTCTCTCTCTCTCTTCAATATTCAATATTGTAACCTCTCCCCTCCATTCAATTTTAAATCCCTCTACCCTTTCCAGTAAAGTAGGGGTATTAATTGGATGGGTTAGTCTAGTTAAGGCCAAGCTCATCCTTTGACATGGAGTTGGCCCAAGCCATAGACCGAGGTTGGAGCCCAATTTTGTCAAATCAAACCCCATGTAAGCTAAATGCAACACAACTTAGGATGGTTCAAGTGGGTTTTGTTGGGCTTGTGTGGGTTGTTCACTTGAGTCTTATTACTAGGGGTGATAATTTCTAGGTTGACTTGGCCCTAAATGTATGTATATATTATATAAATATATAATTATTGTTTTATACTATTTTAAAAATAACATATATTTTATACATATATTATATGTTATATAATAAAAGTTTTGGCAAAACCTGGTGACTATAAACAATAATTCATAGAAGACCTCATGCTGAACTTGCACATGACTTTCTATTCATATTAATGAAATTTTGTTACTTATCAAAAGGAAAAAAAAGAATTGATTGATGCAAGTTGAAGGGCCTAGACAATTTAGGTCAGGCTGGAAAAGGCATGGCTTGGGGTAGTGGGAAATGATTTAAATGTTAAAGTTTAAAATGAATTTGGCCCTTGACACCGTGGCGCCATTACTTGGTGTAATGGTAAAATCTCAGTCTGTCAAGCATGAGAAAGCAGGTTCATTCTGAGAGTGGCCACTTTGTGAGAAAAAAATGCCAGAGGTTAGGATTGTATCCTGTTCACCCATTTCTGGACCCCAGATAACCGGGACCAACGTTGGATAATGACTTTATTATGCTGTTGAGTGGTGGAAAAGGACTTGATGGGCTGGACTGACTTATCAGTTGAATGTGACTGCCATGTAATGATTGGATGGCTTGCATCAGAAGATCAAGACCCTTGGAACCTAAGGCATTTAATAAGAGAAATCAAGCCGCTGGTATCTGTGGTTAACCACTCTTTCAAATGGATTCCTAGGTCTGCAAAAAGCCTAGCAGATATGTAGCCAGGGTGGGAGTAAATAATGTTTCGTTGGACTGGAGTATACCTGGTCCATGGAGGGAGTTGTACCAAAATCATATTTAAAGACTTACGAGTCACTTGTCAGCATTTAGCTGTTTGTATATACCTGGTCCATGGAGGGAGTTGTACCACTCTTTCAAAGTCTCCTAGTACTGTTTAAAAAAAATTGAAAAGGATTTGTGTAGCCACCCCCTATAGTATGGATTGTGTTTTGTTGAGCTGATTCAGAAGAAGGACCATTTTCCAGAATATGTAACCATGAATACTGGACCAAGTGGCCAAGTAACCAAAATCTCATGTTGCTCCGAAAGAGCACATCTCTTCCCACTTAATGACGAGAAGAAGCTTCTTTGCTAAAATGAAGTAATAACAAATTCCTGACACTCTTGTTATCATTCTTCTGCATGGTAGAAACAGGGGTGTTTGACAAGATGGTTGGTTTTGTTTTAAATCACTTTTTGCTGGTGTGGCAGTTGTTTTTGTTTTTGAAAAGAAAACCAACCATGTTTTCGGACACCCTCTAGGTTATCGATTTGTATCTCCCTCTTTTTTTTTCACTCTGTTGTAAGAATCTTCTCATAGGATGCTTCATCTTTTTGGTTGCTTTGGTTAAATGGGGATGCCTTGTAGCATGGGCCTTTTGCATTCTTGTTTTGACTGCCCTCTTTAAGTATGGTGGAGCTGCTTGTTTCTTTGTTTTGGGTTGATTTATCTATTACTAGTATGCAAGGTTCAAAATATCGATTCACCTGATACGCCGGTAGGCGTATCGGTAGCTGTTTCTTTATTTATTTTATTTTATTTTTCAAATCTGGTTCAGAGGGGTCAGTTTAAAACTGGTCGAGACCCCCAAACAACCTCTGTAGGGGTGTATTGGGAAGCCCCCGATACGATACGTATCGGATGATACGGCCCGATGCATATCGATATTTTGAACCTTGATAGTATGTTGTTTACTCAAAAAAGTATCATACACATAGATTGGTTAGTACTTTTACAGTAGTTGCTCTGATGTCAAAGTACAATTGAATTTCTAAGTTTACCTTGCTGCTAAGTCCATTTTGATGTTTAGTCACTTCAGTCTGTTTGGATGTGCTTTCATTTTGAAATTGCTGTTGTTATATGTGTGTAATATCCAAGCTGCTTTAGGCAAACATCTTGTGTTGATAACTGCAGTTGTAATAGGTTGGCATTCTTAATATTACTCCTTTTCTATTATGAATTTAATCATCAACATTGCTTGTCTTTTGAGCATTGGTGCTGAGTTCTAGTTCATTTAATGCATCATTGGACACTTAGTTCTTGTGTAGAATTATACAAACATGTTGCACTATCTTTGTTTGATGTAGTATTCAGTGTAGTTATTTTTGTATTTCTTAATTTTTTTAGGTATATAAGAGATCTTCTTCTTAATCCACCGGCATATGTGATTGCATCGGCAATTCAAGGTGACGGGGTTCCTTTTCATGGATTGCTTTGCTCAATCTTTACAAGATGCTTGCATTCATTTTTATTATCAAGCAATAGATTCTTAATATTTGATCATTCAATAGAAAATATATAGTATATATCACTTTTTGATCGCACGGATATGCTTTCTAAATATTTGATGTTTATATCTTTAGTTAGCTCAAAATTATTCTTTGCTAGTCAAAATAGATTGTTTTTTTTTCATCAATAACAGGAGGATTTCATTAATGAACAAAAAGATAAGGTTCAAATACAATGGTGAGGGTGGGGGGGGACTCTCTTAACTCTCCCCCAAAGAGAAAATTACAATGTAGCCCAAAACAAATGATTTCTTCCCACCCCTTGTTTGGCAAGTGTGTCAGCAAGTGAATTGGCACATCTTTTAACCCACTGCAATTGCACTTCCACCCCCTGAGTTAGCCACTTAAATTGTTTGCGTTCGTTGATGTGTCCATAGTCCATCATCTTCCTTCCCTAACTATCCTATTACCATTTTTAAATCTCCTTCGATGATCAACCTGTTAACATTTAGTTCCTATTCTTTTTTCCAATACCAATTGGGCCTGAAAACAGGGCTATAACTGAACCTTCTTCCAACCTAAAAACACCACCAACCCCTGTAGGCCCTAGATTATCTTCACTGCTGCCATCAAAATTGAGCTTGATAAAGCCTGCACAAGGTAGAGACCATGAAGGTTGAACAATGCTTCTGCTTGGAGCTGAGGCTGCTACTTCCTGCCAATGATTCAAAATGGTCTCTATGGGAATGTCAAACTCGATTGTTTTGGGATTAACAAAAGAATTTGTTAGTAGGGGAAGAAAAGATACACAACCTTAGTAGGATGCATCTTAAAATATGACGAAACAAAAGACAAAACCAAAATGCTACAGTCATGATACTTTGGAAGAATGAACCCTATAAAACTCATTTCCAACTCCTCTCTAGGCCATAGGCAAAAAAGTTAGCTGCTGTTGGGAGTTATGTAAATGACATGTTCATTCTCTGTCTTGGTGTGATTTGTCTATGGCATTTGATTTGGGGGTGGTTCACAAGGTCTTTCTGCATTTGAAGCTGTAATTTAACTTGTGTCAGCTTTAAAAAGATAGAAAGAGTGCAGAACCAAAGAGATCAGAGTGCCTTTTAACTTTTATTGGCCTGATGGAACTATCCTTCTAATGACTCTATTATACAAACATTTTTCTAAATTATCTTTCAAGCTGGAGCATATATGTCACTTACAACTCTAGTTTGGTACAAAATGTAATTCATCCTAACCTGACTTAAATTTGTAGTAAACATGTCAGTCAACCATTCTTCAAACCTGACAAAAGACATGGATGTATTGCCACTAATAACTTTCTCTCTTACAAGATGACAGCCTACTTCAATATGCTTTCTTTTCTCATTAACTGATTAACAGGTTGAGTAGTTGGTTCTCCAATGTCCTTAACTAGGTGCTTCAGCCGTATTAGTTCTCAAGCAGTATGAGCCATGGCTTTATGCTTTGTTTCTGCACCACTCCTCACAACCACACTCTGTTTCTTGCTCTTCAAGTGATTGGGTTACCTCCTAGAAATGTGTAATACCTGGTGGTAGATCTTAACTTCGAACTATATAGTCTCTTGTCACAACACACCATGGCCCTCTTTGAACTCTCAACTAGAGGGACTTAAACCAAGTTCACCAGTAATTCACAGTCAGCACAGGGAACCATAAGCACAACCTTCATGGATCTAAATCCTTAGAAAAGTACTTGATTTAAATCTGTTAATTGCATGATTAGAAGATAAACAAAATACCTACTGCAGATCTAAGCTACTCTTAAACCTGGCTTTGCTACCATGTTGTCCAACTTGCAGTGACCTTTAAAGAAGATAGGAACAGAGCAGAAGAGTAGACAAATTTGTAGAGAAACATTCACATTTCCCTCTTCCTGTTCCTTCCATATACTTTCTTCACAGTTTTCAAAAGGGTTTAATAAACATTGTATTGGAAGATTAGCAGGCCCCACATGCAACTGATCATTTCTTTCATGTTTTATTACAAATGGTTTTTTTGTTTGAGCAAAATGTGTCAGATAAACTCTGGAAAGTTGCTGTAAGTAGGTGATTCCAACTTTTTTTTTGTTATTGGAATTTTTAAGTCTATATCAGTTGTAAGCGTGCTTGGGACAAACAGCCAACTGCCACTTATTTTGTTACTCTCTCTCCTATTACTTTATTAATCACCTGGGCTGGGAACAAAAAACTGTTTACCCAATCAGAAAAGTATATTCTTTCCTTTGCTTGTAAACCAGACATAGCCTTAAGGAGCATACCTTAGTCTTGGAAAATCCTAAAGGGATACCATTCATTTCTATGAAATCTTTTAATTTATCTCCCAGTTATCATTATGATTGAATCCTTTTACTCTCAATAAACTGGTCGAAGATATGGCCTCCCAGTTATCAGTTTCTTCTACTTATTTTCCTCCATTATATTTATGGTTGATACCAAGAAGAAATTTCTGCATTTGATCATTAGGGCCTCATGAGTGTTTTGTTCTGCGCAAGTGCTTCATTTGTACATATTCATGCACATATATGTATGTGTGTTCCTTGCATGCTGCTATGTTATTGAGTTTATGAATGAGATGTGCTGAGTTGTATTTATTTTGGCAGAAACATGCAAAATTATGAGTGGTGTAACGTGTTCGATCCCTGAGTTTACATGTGTGCCAGCTGCCAAGGTTGTATTTATTTCTATGTTAGTTTGACAAGAAGAATGTGCCTGTATGTTAGTCCTTTTCTCAAGCTATTCGTTAGTTGAGTATTATTGGCAATTATTTTTTTTATCAGTGTATTATTGGCAATTATTTTCTGCAAACTATGATTTCCATTATAGTTTTTACTTGCATTGTGAAATCCGATACTTAGGGCCTGTTCGCTTGTTCTGAAGTCTGACATCTGAAAGTGCAATAATTACATTAAGAGGTATATTGGTATTAGTGAACTTTTCTTTCCTCTGAACTCTGAATGCAGAGGATGTTGTTCTGAACTCTGAATTCTGACTTCTGAAAATTATCAAATATCTATTTTGACCCTATATGTTTAAGTTTTTGTTTGTATTTTTGGGGTATCATTGGAAAAAAAAATTGTGTGATTGCACTTTAAGAGATAAGAGATAAGAGGAAATGAACAACAATTTTTCTCTTAAAGTTAAAAGATTCCTCTGAAGAGATAAGAGTTAAGAGGAAACGAACTGGCCCTTAGTGGAGGTTGGGTTATGCTTTAGTATGCAAATTCTTCTCCWTATTGGCAAACCCACTGCTTTAGATTCTCACTGATTGGCTTGAGAAAAGGAGCCATCTGGAATCTGGACAACAGTGGACCTTTTTCTGCATTTCCCCTGTTTTGGTCCTTAAATCCTCATGGTGGGGGCTGACCGCTAGTCATTCCATTTTCTGTTGAATTTGTATTGCTGTCCTATGTTTGCACTTCCTTCCCATGATTCCAAAGCCAAATACATATGTGTATTTGGAAATCTTTAGCAACAAACAAGCAATGCGCCTTTGCCTGTCCTCTGGGAAGGATGGGGTAACACCCTTTGAGTGTTTTCCTGTTTTGCTCCTTCCAAGTTCTCTATGTTTTCCAGTTTTCCTGTTTTGGTTCTGAATTCTGCTTTATGTTTTGCAGCTTGTGAAGCTATTGGAATCCAGAGAGGCAAATCATATTGAATTCTGCAGAATCAAGAACATAGCTGATGAAATCCTGCAGATGTATAAAAGCTTTGAGCTATGTGATATTCTAAAACTTCTAATGGATCCTACTTGGGTTGCCACTGGGTTGAAAGTTGAATTAAAGACCTTGGTGCGTTGCTTTTCCAATTTGATTTGTTTTTTCTTTGGTTAAAATACTTTTGCATTTATAGAACTATTGATACGTGGGTACATATTAAGGGCCAAAAGGGAGAAACCTGAAATGAAAAATTACTGCAAGAAATAATATTATTGGCACAGCAAGTAAGCATATATTCACTTGTGGTGCCAAGCTCTATTGGAAGGAGTGACCAGGCTACTGTATCAGATTTTAAATTTGAAGGAATCACTAAATCTGATATGAAATTTTCATGGGTGTGAATCCCTAAAATGTTACATGAATTAACAAGAATCTGATCATGTTTCATTGAAAAGAATTTTTGATGACTTGATTACCATACATATTGACATGCATGCTACATAATAAAATGATAAATAAACTATTTGATGTATCCTTGAAATGTGTTTCATTGTTTGTGTACATGTTAACTGTGGAAACATGAGTATATTCCCATTATATTAAGCTGGTAAATGTTTGCTTTTTTGCACAAAGAATTTTTACAAATGGTAAGTGTTTTTGTTGTGAATGAGGTAACCTAATTCATCCAAAGCTAGTTGGGACAAGACCAACATATCTATAATGCTTTTATGAGGTTAAATCACATTTACTATTTACTATTCTTACCCTTCCTAGGTAAAAGAGTGTGAATGGGTGTCAAATCGAATTGGTGAAGTGATTCTTCTGGATGGTGAAAGTGATCAAAAATTCAGTTCCTTTCTTGCAATTCCAAGTGAATTTTTTGTAGATATGGAATCTTCATGGAAAGGGCGTGTGAAGAGGATTCATGCTGAGGAAGCGTATGCAGAAGTGGAGAAGGCAGCTGAAGCCTTATCTATAGCAGTAGGTTTCCGATACTCTTAATAAATTATCTTGTTAGTTGCCATCATGTTTAAGATACTACTTGAGTTTGTGATACATGTTTGATATTATATGTTTCTTGTTTGCTTAATAGTTTGACTTATTTACACATGTTATTGTTTTTTTCTTTTTCATTATTTGATTTGATCCATGGAATTTTAAAAGCAGCAAAAAGGTAATATCCTTGTTATTCTTTTGGTTGTTGAAGTCTATTGTATTCTCTCTTATCTGTACAAGATTCCTTGTCTTTTTATTTGATTTTCATCTCCTGTTTCACATTAGCTGTATAATTTGTCTTCTGATAAGGACATTAAAGCATTCCTTTATCTTGCTTCACTTTTATCAATTTATGTTTAACGTATATAAGACTGCCACCAAATTCACTAGAAAGATCGCAATCAAGTTTACACAACAACAAGCCAATAGTAGAAGGGAAATGGAATTCAGATGAGGAGGCAAAGCACCATAGAAACTTGATGGAATGAAGAATTTAAAAATATTATCAAAGTAAAACGGGCATTTCATACTGGTTTTCTAAAATAAAGTGTAGAAAACTTGGAAAAATATAAAAACACAGAGAAAGGGAGATAAGAAGAAAATGAGTGAAGTTAAATTTAAGGCAAATGGCAAACTCTATCATAAACTAGGCACTAAAGGAGAGTAAATAGAATTTATTACTTACATAGATCATAGATGAGGGACAAAATACAGAGATTTAATTCATGATAGATACATGATGCATCAAAAAGACTCTTCACAAGAAAATGATTAAATAAAGGAAAGGTTGAAAAAGCTATTTTTTTTTTGAAGAATAAAGAGCAAATTTCATTAAAAAAGAAAAAGAAATACAACAGAAAGGTGATAAGATATCACCCGAAAGAGAAACACAACCAATCGACCCAACATTTAGACATCAACGTCCCCTTAACAAATCCAAAAATACCACACAACTTAACAAACATAAAGGCTCATGATACTAGACTCAAAGCAAAGACCAAAGAATAGCCCCAGGAAAGAAACCCCTTGAACCGAGAGAAACCATCAACCAGACACCTGAAAAAAAACACAACCACTACTTGCAAATAACTGACACCTCACTCTTCTTCCATGAGTGTATCCACCTGGCCTGAATCATCCTCGTTCCATGCCTCGCCTCCTTCCCCAAGAACTTTTTTGTTCAACTTCTCTTCTGTTCTTCTCCTTTCAAACCCCTCAATGGCTTTTCTAGCAAAGTCCCCACCACCCTAGAAAAACAAACCCAGACTCTTACCAATCGTGGCATCTCTTTCCACTATTTTCTGAAGAGACACACATTCTGAAGCGCCATCCTTATCATTGTTACTTTGCAACATCAAATTGGCATCAGATTCAGGACCATCAACACTCACCTTGTTGTCTTGTTGCTCCTTCCCAAAATAGGAGTTTGATGGCTGAACTTGCATCATCACCCCCATGATCATTTTCAGATGGCAAATTGCCTCTTGTTCCTTTCTCCTGTAAACCCATTTGTAGTTTTTTGTAGGTCCTGCCCTGGCCAGACCAAGCTTCAGCCTAGAGAAGATTTTTGTCACATGCACAACATTAGGATTTCTTGAGCTACGTGTTTTTCACTAATCACYCCATTAAAGGACTCCTCTTGAGTCTTGCTCCTTCGATCCAAGTCAACACCCATTTGGTGCCTACCTAGGCTCATTTTGTAGATTTTCGTCCTCAATCATTTGGGCCAATCTAGGCCAATTAGTATCCTTTTCTTCCTCATCATCGGCATGAAGTAGAAACACTTATTGGGCTTTGCAAATGTGGTCTGATCTAGACCCGTTAGCATCATTTTCTTATTGGAATGAAGTAAAAACACATTGGGTTTTGCAAATGTGGCCTGATGTGAATTTCTTGTCACAATTATAACATAATCCTTTTTTTTCTTGCATCAAGCTTGCATATTGGCCAATGCGAGGTGCTTGAAAGGTAAGCTTGGATGGCCATAGTGGGGCCTTAGACTGTGTAAGTCAGGGCGAACTGGTGGAGTATTGAAAATTGGCCTGGTTGGGTAGTTCTCCCATTTCAGCCGGTCAATTGCCCTTCATAGTTTTCAAGGCACCAAGGCGAAGCTAGGTGATTGGGGGGGGGTTGCCTTGTAGCCTAGTCATCTAGGTGATGGAACTTTCATGAATCCTAGGGTAATTCCCTAGGTTCCATAGTAACGAGCAACCATCTTTGGTTGATATTTATAAGCTTCATATTAAGATATCTAAAATCAACATATTTATGAGAAAAAAAAATGAAAAGAAATTTCACAAAATATAGGGGCTGAGCGCCTATGTTGATTGGACAGAATTTTTAAATTCTTCCTTTCTTATTGGTTCAGGTTTTGAGGTCTTTGAGGGTTGAAGACAGCATATACTGACATATGTGTTGATTGAACCCTAACAAATAAGAAAATAATTAAAAGAAACTAGTATATAAACCCACAAAGTGAATGTTTTGGTTTAATAATATCTATTTAATTATTATAATATAAAAGTGTTTAATAGTGGCATTTACAAGATAGGTAGGTGATTAAGCAAGGTGACTCCAAAGTTATTCCATTCATTCCCTCCCAACCTTTTATATCTTTACATCATGATGAGTACAAGTGTTTAACCACTAGAGAGGCCAGATTAACTGATTGGTTGATACGGCCTCCTCAAGTAAACAAACCACTTAGTGCTTGAATGGTTTAGAGATCTGCTGCCTCTCATGGGCCTGCCTGGTCGACACTGGAGCTACTTGGGTGGGCACTGATTGGGCCAGGGATGGGCTATTATCAGATGTTGACTGAACATCATTTGAGGTCAGCTTTTGTTAGTTTTGGATTTAAATGACAGATATTTCTGTGTAGAAATGTGGATTTTGTATTGTGTCCACTGGAGAAATTTTGATTTTTCTTCTTGAATTTTTAGCACTTCATTTCCATGTAAGTTTCGTTTTTTCTTTTAATAAATATATTACTTTGCAATATAAAAGAAATATTTTTACTTTGTTTGGATGGTTGCATTGCTTAATGTGTTAGTAATGACCTTTTGATCTGTTTCTAATTTGATCTATCCTCATTCCCTCTAAAGATCACTAGCAATTGTTATTTGCTTCAGATTTCCACTAAAACAATTCTTGAACTTGGCATACACTCTTCTGTTTGGGGTATGCAAGTCCTAATAATGGCTGATTTATAGGTTTCCTAGAAATTCCACTTTTAAATGTTATGGGAATTTTTGTCTTAGGTTATGGAAGATTTTCTTCCAATTATTTCAAGAATAAAAGCTACAGCAGCTCCCCTTGGGGGTCCCAAGGGAGAAGTATCATATGCCAGAGAACATGAAGCTGTTTGGTTTAAAGGAAAACGTTTTGCACCCACTGTTTGGGCTGGTACTCCTGGGGAACAAGAAATCAAACAGCTTAGACCTGCTACAGATTCAAAAGGGAGAAAGGTTGGAGAAGAATGGTTTACTACAAAGAAGGTGGAGGATGCGCTACTTAGGTGTGGATTTTCTATTAATAACCTAAGTTGTATATTTTTGTTTAGCGAGTTACCATTTTGTTTTCTGGTTTATTGTGTTATTTGATTGAGTGAGACTTTGGTCTTCTATGTCAGATACCATGAAGCAGGTGATAAGGCAAAGGCTACAGTATTAGCATTATTGAGAGGACTTTCTGCTGAGTTACAGGACAAAATAAACATTCTTGTCTTTGCTTCTATGTTGCTTGTCATAGCAAAAGCACTATTTTCTCACGTCAGGTTAAATCCCATGTCAAGTAACTTCTCTCATGAACCTTAAAACTGTTTATGAACCATCTTTACTTACCACTTTCTGCTCAGATTAATAAAATTTGATGTTTTTTTTTTTTCTGATCAATAACACTTACATTAATTCATCAGTAGAAAATTTACAAGTGGAAGACAAACACACTTATCTTCCAAAAGTCACAAAGAACTTCAAGAAAGGAAAAAATACAAAGATACAAAGACACTACCGTTACAGCTTAGCCCAAAACAAAGAATCCCTTTCTGCCCCTTGTTTTGCTAAACCGTCAGCTAGGGAATTAG